GTTGTGAGTAATGAGGCCAAATACAGCCACACTGCAACATTAGCAGAGCTCTACCTCTTTATTCCTGCCACCTGTTAGTGAGAGGTTTCCTCCACCGCTGGAGACGATGTCACTGCAACTAGATCTGTGCTTGTGGCAGAAAATGTGGACAAGTTGGGCTTTTTGGACAAAAACTTAAAACTTGATTAGTTAGATTGTAAACAGTCTGTTGCTGCTTATTGTTCTGGTTCTGACTATTATTGTATTTATTAATATTTTTATTATTGTTAGTATAGTTTATTTATTGTAGAGTGCCTTTAATTTAAAATATCATCCAAATGGGTTGCTTATTTATTTTTATACAAACGCATTGTTTACTTGGCATATTTCAAAATAAACATTTTGTAAGTCTTTATTTTGTCTTTTTTTGTACTGAAAATTAACCGAACCGAGCCCTCACTGAAACTGAACAGAACCGAAATATGATTTTAGCGTACCGTTACACCCCTATTGAGTACACAATTTTGTTCCACCTTATGTACAACATGTCATGCGAATGACCATAAAGAATGTTGAATTTTTATAAATCTAACGTAGAGGTAAAATATATGTGTTAGTAACGTTATCTTTGTTGTCCTTTTTGGAATGCATTGTTTGTCTGAAATCGGTATTACGATAGTCAAAATTTCCATATCTGTCGTGCTCTAGTTATCACTTCACTTCAAATCAATTCAATTACAAATCAGTTTATTTATATAGCATCAAGTCACAGCAGAAGTCATCTCAGGGCATTGAACAGAAACAACTGCTGCTAGAAGGCTAAAGGTGGATGTTCTTGTTTAAGCCTGTTTGTGTGTTTTTGTAAGTGTAACTGCTAATAAAATATATTACGATCCCTGGACAAATTTTACCCTCCAGCTGCCCTCGGACCAAAATGACCCACAAGGCCTCAGTTTTAAAACTACGGCCTTGTGGGTCATTTTGATTTTGCTTATATTGTTAAAAAAGCAGAAAGCGGGTTAATCAGACCTCTACAAAATAATCACTGGATGCAAGTTAACTTATTCAGATATGGAGGACTGACATGGAGTCAGTCCAATGTCAAGATGACCATCCCAGGAAATCAAAACGAATTAACACAAAAATGGCTACAATTCGGTCAGTCTTGCAGATGCTGAGCAAAAATTTGATGCGGTAGTAAGTGAGTCATACATAACACCAACTGGATTTGATATCTCACACTATCATGATATCGAGACAACGGTTTCAAGGTTTGATGAAACAAAAACAGTTTTCCCAACTCAACAACTGTAGCATCCCTACAAAACTCTAGGACTTTGTTTTTGATGCCAAAACAAATGTTTATTACTGGAGTTATATTTTATGGTTTCAAACTGTTCTGAGTTTTCTAAAAGCATAAATCTGTTTGGTAATTGTTTTCTGGAAGTAAGCACAGTACACTGTCATCACAGTCCCAACCAGCACCACCACCACCCCCCACCCCCACCCTTCTGCCTTTGAAACCATGTCAGAACCTGGAAAAATAAACCACGCAAACTCAAACAATTCAAGACACATTCTGCCATCATTCTCCCAAAAGTCTGGCTCCCAGATGAAGTTCTGGTTATCGTGTTCTGACAGTGGAGAAAAAGTGCAGCATGTTGGGATGCAATGAATCTGGCAGGAACTGATGCTGATCACATCAATTAGAAATCACAGAGCTTTAATACGTGGA